CTCTTAAATACTCAAGTTGTGAGTGAATTTATTGACTTTTAATTTTTTTAAAAGAAGTCAGTCTCTCTGGCCGCCATCTTGGATTATGAGCCATGTTACTTGTTACACTGTCATTATTATTTTATTATCGTTGAAAGGGATTTTTACCCTGACCAAAGAAACAAAATTTAAAATAGCCTTATACAGTGGAAACCTGATATAACAGGGAGGGTGGGAGTAGAGAAAATGTCCTGTTATATCCGATCCCTGTTAAATCAAAAATGCAAGGAAAGTAAGCATTTGTGGACTAATCCAGCTGTACTTATTCATGGGTAGTTTCCTTTGCCACAAGTTCCCACGAACAGGGGTTTTGGCACCAACATTCTCCATTGTCTCACATCTGAAGAGCTTGGTCCACAGCATCTGCATCGGGTAGTGTCATCTTCTTTCGATCCAGAGCAAACTTCCCATTTGAGTATGCTGCCACTATCTTCTCTCTATCCTTGATAATGGTGTGAATCGACCCTTGTGGAATGTCGAACTGACCACAAATCTCTGCCAGTGGAGCTTGCTTTCTGTCAAACAGCCTGGATTATTTCGTATTTTTTGTCAATTGAAAGGCAATTTCTCGTGCGCTTGACATCGTTGGTGACACATTACGCGGGTGTGTTGTTAGGTTTCGGGCTAGATCGAGGTATGCAGCACACCGCAGCCCTCTTTTGCTTCACACGCTGCGTGTGCTTGCAGTGGCATGGCTTGCGTGGGCTTGTCCATCACTGCGTTACTCTCTCTCTCTCTCTCTCTCTCTCTCTCTCTCTCTCTCTCTCTCTCTCTCTCTCTCTCTCTCTCTCTCTCTCTCTCTCTCTCTCTCTTACTTTTTACACATTGTAACGAGCCTTTGCCCCTGCTATAACCGGTTGGGCTGCGATGAGGCCCTGTTATTGCCGATAACTTTTAATAGATAGAGACAAAGAGTAGGAAAAAACGGGGATTTTAAAAATCCCTGTTATGACCGGATCCCTGTTATTACCGGGCCTGTTATATTATATGGTTTCCACTGTACTTAAATACCACTAGACCAGAACAAAGCGACTTAAAAATGCCCTCAGAAATCAAAAGCAAAAACAAAACAAGTACGCTGAAAGTAAAACAAAACCCAGGCATGCAACACGTGCATTTTTAATAAGTGAACAATATTTCACAATTCATACCATTTCACCATTTTCACCTTCCATCTTTGATCACAAAACAGATCATGCTGCTCTTATGTGCCAAAATCTATGCTTTAACTTTAAGCTGTGGTATGGTAGTTTCAAAAATTGAAAAACACTTTCCCCTGGGTGGATAGGGAAAAGCAGTTTTTGAGAAAAACGCATGCACGGTATTTGAGTTGGGGAAAAGAAGGAGATATTGAAAAAGATAGTGAGTTATTATAAGAGACAAACAGACAGACCAAGAAAGGGAGACAGAATGAGAGACAGACAGACAGACCGACAAAAAGATAGAGACTGAATGAAAGAGACAGAGCGAGAAAGAGGGGGAATTAATGAAACAAAGAATGAAAGCTATTGTCGACTCCATTTCTGTTGAACTGGCTTGAGTTGTTCTTCGATTAAGTCGATCTTTTTCTCGAGTGCCAGCACCTCTTCAACTTTACGGGTCCCAACGGTTAAGTTAAACTTCGGATGAGTTGGTCTTTTTTTTCACTCCCGCGACGACCTCGAATCCCCCGTAGTCGACTGTATTACAGTCTGAAAATTGATGTACTGACTTTATCAAAATTGGTTCACATTTTTAGAAAATGAACAATGCAAAAATAACCTTTTGGGGAAAACATACAGACCAAGCTTAATATTTTAACCCGAGGATGTCTGTTTTGGTTCACAAAGTCTGTGTGCAGTTTCCATCTAGAAAACCCGGTCAGGGATTTCGCACAGTAAAGCGGGTAGTTGCTTTGGGTCCGATTCAAAGCAGGGGTAATCATTCAATTTTTTCGTTGCCATCCACATAACCATACAATTCTCTTCTGTCCCACCGTTTGGTTCCGAGTCATGCCACACAAAAGTGGACATCGTGCCACCAGAGGTAATAAAACTCCAAGTCCCCTCATGACCTTCATCCGTGGCTCCGATCCAAGCCCCAGCTACTCCAGAGAAGTGAGTCTGTTTGTTCACAAAACCAGCGACGAAATCGTACTCATGTCGGTCGTTGATCTCCACCAGGTATCCACCATAGAGTCGACAGAGGCGGTTTGCTTCTACTACGTTACCCCAAACTAGTTTGGAGACGATGTAATGACTGCCTCCATAGCTGTCCGATGCCACTGTGATCGCGTTTTTAGAATGTTCCACACGCAGCATAAGATCGTTCAGTTCAGCATCCAAGTGGTTCACCCTTTTCTCCAATGCCGTATAATTAGTGAGCTTCATTTCCATGTCTTCCATTTTGGTGTTCATTTGGTTCATCTTCGTGAGAAGCATATCAATGGTGACTCTGAAATTGAGAAACGATAAAAAATAAACGAACCCGCAGGAAAATGATCAGCTCCTAGTTTTTTTGACACTGATATCAATAGCAGTTGTAATCAAGAGACAACTTCATCTGTTAAAATAAGTACAGAATGACTTTTGTCTCTTTTAAAACTTTTGATTAAAAAAAATAAATTTTTAAAGCATACAACCCCCCCCCCCCTCCAGTGAATTCTGAACGATAAAAACACAGATGTTCATGGGCTTTCCTTCAATATTAGAGTACAAAGGATATTCAAGTGTACATTATACACATTAATTGTGTTTATACGTTATATTTATGGCAATCCGACATTCTTTACTACATTTCTACATGTTTTATTGTGTTACTACAGCAGCTCCTGGACCTGCTGTTCCACTTCTATATGTATGCATTTCATTCTACCCCTACTCTTCGTCGTTCTCCCCATCCTCCTATTCCTCGTCTTCATCCTCTTCTTCTTCATCCTCTTCTTCCTCCTGACTATTGCTGCTGCTGCTACAGCAGCTGAGTTTTGCTGATGCTGTTGCTACTACTGCTACTACTATTATTACTACTATTATTACTACTATTATGTAGGCCTACTATCACTACCGTTACTGCTGCTGCTAGCTGTTACTGCTTGAGCTGCCACTAAAGACACGCAACAAGAAAGAGAGAGAGAGGAGGATGGGGAGAGGAGAGGGCATTATAACATGTCATGGTATTTGCTAAACATTTTAAATAGATTTTTGACCAGGAAAGGGGGCAATGTATCAAAAATGACATTTCAATGGGATTTTAAAGTGGAAATTTGAAGTATGGGGGGAGGGGAGAGAGCTGCCTTTCCTGTAATAACTTACGAAGTCTCGGCCACTGCAACATTGGCTGAGCTGGTGAGTGGGTGGCCTCTGTGGTCCATTCCGTTAGCCTCACACCTGTAGTTACCTTCCACCTGGCTACTGGGGAATGTCCACTAGAGAGAACGAGAGAAGATCTGAATGTCGCGGTGGTCGTTTTAAAGAAACAAAAGTAAAAGGCGATAGAATCATATGTCGGCATGGACTACTATAATTATAATAGACAAAAACTAGATAAAAATAGCTCTTTGCCTTGCGACTGTGTATCACAACCGGGGCCGGTTAAAAACTATACTGTTGTAAAGTTCGGCGTTTTTGACTAAAATAGCGTTGAAATAACCCGAGCTCTGTAAAAAGACATTTCAACTACTTCTAAGCGAATATACACTAACTTATTTATGATTATTTAAAAAAAAAGGAAAAACAACCTTGTGCGTTATCTTTCACCTGTCCAACGTTGCAGAAAATAGACTATGGTTTTTTTTTTCATTTTTTAAACCTTTTTTTTTTTTTACTCAACAACGCATGCTGTTATCTTATGGTCAAAACCAACTGTTTTCGGCTAGCATTAGGATTTTTTAAACTGCGGTTTCTGAATTAGTGCTAAGCCTTTCGGCTGCATAATAATATAATATGCTTAAGATATTCTTTCTCTCTCCTGCAAAATGTTGCTTTCTGGGCTTAGTACATTTAACAACTTGGCGACATTATGGTATTCCTAGGTGTTTAATCACTTGAAAATTAATACTTAACAGTATACATCATGGGAGAGAGAGAGAGAGAGAGAGAGAGAGAGAGAGAGAGAGAGAGAGAGAGAGAAACCCCCGGGGCAGTGCCGCTGACTGTAATGTCTTTAGGCCATTCCCAAAGGGGGGACATTTCTCGTTCAAGTAAGCACAGTATAATTGTAAATGGGCTGATTCATCATGTCACGCTCATAACTGCCAGATCTGCAGTGCAACAGGGAACTGCTGCTTTTTCTTTCCTAATTCTTACTAATTAATTGTCATTCCTCTACTTCTTTTGTGTGTTTGTCACTCTCTTGTGACCTGCTATTTCCGGGGTGCCTTGATAGTGTTGAAGCTAGAGAGGTGAGCAGAGTAAGTTTGATTCCCTGTAAGGACTTCTCTGTTGACACTCACCCCTTGGCGCTCATATGACCGTATGCAGTTGCGAGCGCCGTAAATCCCTCTACTACTACTACTACTACTACTACTACTACTACTACTACTACTACTACTACTACAGAGAGAGAGGGAGGGGTGGGGGAAATCAAATCAAACAAGCCGAGACAACACAGATATACCTCTAAGGCAATGAAAGAGTACGCATCTGGCTTGTGGTGTCCCGTCACAAACGCGCCCATTGTGTTGTTCTCTTCTATTTTGTTGTTTGAAAACGCCGTAATCGAAGCTATTTCGCTGAAAGAAAAAGAACATGTTATATAGTTTGGTAGCCTAACGCCGGTGTTCCATTTCATTAGTGGGAGGGAATACAATGTGTGATTCAGACAGGTTGTAACTTCATTACAACTCGAAGTGAGAGAATTCAGGCCATAAATTTATGGTAGTTTTGCCATTTCTCAAATAAAGAATTTCAAAGTCACAGTATTGCAGAGTTGTATAGTTTTAACACCCCCTTGCAAAACGGTAAGGTTATTTAAGAGGCAGGACCTCTGGACTTATTGCCCCTCTCCGATAGTCTTTACTAGTACAATGTACTTCTAGACCATGCACTGTACATGTACTGATAATTGTCGCTCTTTGCGTACCAGAAAACTTTCCTGGAAGCACGCGCACCTTGGACCGCGCAATTTACGCCCAAATGAAGGTCAGAACACCAGTTTAGCCACAGTCGAGTGCTCACGGCATTAAATTTGTCCTTTCCAATACACGTATACTGTTACGGTTACTGAAACATCAACTTCTACTCCTGTAATTTCATTTGGTTACTACCACAGTACATATTAGTATTACATGTATAACTAATTGAACAATAACCACTGTCACACACACAGTAAAGAGAGAGAGACAGACAGATAGACAGAGAGACAGAGAGAGAGAGACAAAGAGGGGGGGGGGATAAAAAGAGAAAGGGAGAGAGAGATCCAGAGAAAGATAAAAAGAAACAGAGTTAAAGTGAAATAAATGGGACCAAGAGTAAGGTAAAAAAGAGAGTGAAACGAAGATAGAAAGGGAGGGTTGATAGGTAATAGATGGATTGGTAGACAGACAGACAGACAGAGATAAATTGGACCAGGACAAACTGATGAAAGTAAAGAGAAAAAAAAGATAGATAAATAGATAGATAGATAGATAGGCAAAGGGTGCCCACAGTAGTCTAGTTATAGTCTACCGGGCTGGTCATCGAGGGGTTGCAGTTCGTAGTTCATAGTTCGGGGTTTCCAGTTTCCAGGCACAGATGGTATGAAGTTGTGTCCTTGGGAAAGGCATTTTACAGTACACGGGAATTTCCCTCACTTCACCTAGGTGGTTTTTTTATTTGTTGTTTCGTTTTGATACATGCTTTACGGCGCAACTGCATAAGGCCATTATTATGAGCACGCGGGACACATTAAACATTTGGAGTTTGGTAGGAATTCATTTTAAATTTTGCCCGCGTGGGAGCCGAGGCTTACTCTTGTCAATTTTAGGACAACCAAGGGATCTTTAATAAGCGCGACTTGCACGTGGGAAGTCTGAGACTATTCTGCCATTTTCTGAGAAGGTTAGACGTTCGATACATTGTACTACCCACCCTGAGATCAGGGGTGTGGCCGAAAGAGAGCAGTAAAAAGGAGCCAGGAGTAACGGTAATAAGAGTCAGCAGCCCAGAGAAGGAAGAAGGGAAAGGGGGGGGGGGGGGAAGTGGACATTAAAGCCGATGACAGAACATGATATAACTTATAAGAGCAGGAAGCGAGGTGAAAATAATTTTTTGTCGCTGTCACTACTGTCAGAACCTTTTGAATGAGGCGAACTCCGTGCCTCTAAACTACGAGCGCCCCCTCACTTCGATGTGAACGGTTACCTAGATTATTATGTCAATATGATATGGTTTTAACACCTGTAAAATGACAGCTTATACTGTCTGCTTTCGGGGAAGACGAAAGTGTTTTCAGGTGTATCAGGGTCTGCTAGGGCATTGGAAGTTGTAATGTGCACAGAGCATGTTGTAGAGAATTGATATGTGCTAAATAAATTGAATTGAATTAAATTATTATTACTTGTTATTGTTATTGTAATCGTTATTATTATTATTATTATTATTATTATTATTACTATACATCATCATCTCCAGTGGCGGTTCGTGGTTTATAGAACTGACCGGCGGTCATTCACGTCGACTATTTTTCCCTCCCCACCCCCTTCCTTCACAACACACACACACACACACACACACACACACACACACACACACACACACATGCTCTCTCTCTCTCTCTCTCTCTCTCTCTCTCTCTCTCTCTCTCTCTCCCTCTCTCTCTCTCCTTATTAATATTTTATACCCCTACTTTCACAATTCCCACTCACACACACACACACCACAGTAAACATTGTAATATAACGTGAAAGAGCTAAAAAATATGCGGTAGCGACAAGAAACAATATTACGAATAATTTTAAGATGGAAGTTACTGAGATTAATAAAAACTCACTTGATCGGCACAGAAAAAGAAACACTACTTGAGTCTAAGCTAGAAAACAAACTGAAAGTGAAAAGCAATAAACCGTGTAAAGTGCCTTTCCCAAGGACTCAACGTCGGGTCCCTGACGGGATTCGAACCCACGACCTTACGGTTGCGAGTCCGAGAGACTAACCACTAGGCCACCGACGCTACAGTGATCTCTTGAACTTTAAGGCAGGACTCTCTTCAGATTTTGCCATTGAGGAAATATGAATGTGAAGTGTCAAATCAATCGGGGGACTGACAAGAGGCAGGGGAATCAGCAAATCACAGACTGCAACGTGGCTTCTGTCAATGCCAGCTTGCGCAGAACTAAATAACGCCATGCAAAAAGTGACAGGCACGTTGCGTCTCTCAAGTGAACAGCACAGAGAACTGAGTCTATCGGGATCGGCAAAAGGATGCGCAGGATATGATAGCTGTTATCAAGTTTCTTCATGAGAGAAATCTGTTGGCTGAAGACGCTAGTCTGAGACATATCGTTACGGGGGTGGTTGCAGAAACAGCTGTCAACGTTGACAAAGCACATGATGTTGGTCAAACTATTCTCAGCAAAATGGAAGGTGGATCAGTCTCAGAATTGTCCTTGAATAAAAAAAGACAAAGTTGTTGCAATGACTGCAAAGACAGCTCTAAAGGCTAACCACGACCCTGTGACTATTGATTCTCAGTTGTTGTTTCAGAGATTAGTGACAGCTGCAACTTCAAAATATGAAGACAAGATAGAGATTCTTAAAAACGAACTTTGCAGCTACCCCTTGTCATTGTCTGAATTTGCAGATATCCTTCATCAGTCCAACAAATCAGCTCTGCTAGAAGAACTTAGGAAATCAAGGACAATGGTTACGCCTGATCTGCCATCACCAGCTAACCTGCAGATCTTCGTTTGATGGAGGGTCTTTACTGTAGCGCATTCCCTGGCAACGAGGGAGCACCTTCATTGGTATTATTGAGACATAATATGCTTCTTATGTCAGCAAGAATTATCCAAACGCAACCTTTGTTTTTTATGGATATTTGTCTAGCCTGTCGACAAAAGATGTGACACAGCTCAAAAGATCCAAAGGAATTACAAGACAAGCTGTTCATTTTAAGTTAGACACGGTTCTCCAATCCTCAAAGGATTTTTTTCTTGTCAACTAAGAAAATAAGCAACGTTTTTATCAATGCCCTCGGATCAGTGCTTGAAGACAGAGGACACATTGTCATGTACAGCAAATGTGATGCTGACCTTAAGATTGTCCAAGCAGCAATTAAGTGAGCGCAGCACAAAGATACCGCTGCAATAGGAGAAGATACAGATCTTCTCCTTCTGTTAGCACATTATGCTGAAGGACATGCTCATAACATCTATTTCTATTCGAACAAAAATATCCCAGCTTAAAAAAGGAGCAATGGGATATTAAACTATTAATTATTCAACTGGGGCATTTTGACATTCTCTGCTCTTTTTCCATTCCCTTACTGGCTGTGACACCACCTCAAGACCATTCGGTATCGGGAAAGGCACTACTTTGAAAAAGTTCCAACAAAATGATGCTCTTAGAATCTTAAGTACAGATTTTATGACAAACCAATCTGCCCAAAGTGTTGCTGCTTCAGGCGAGAAAGCCGTTGTGCTTCTGTACAATGGAAAACCAGAAGAAAGTCTTGATGAACTACGCCATCGTAACTTCTGCATAAAGGTTGCAACAGCCTCAACACTTAAACAGGACCGTGCACTTCCTCCGACATCAGCTGCAGCTAAGTGTCAAAGCCTAAGAGTGTATCTTCAGGTGCAACAGTGGATGAGAAATGATACGCTTAATCTCCTAGAATGGGGATGGAAATATGAGGATAGACATATGTTCCCATCATGATCACCTTGTCAGCAGCACCACCAGACCTTCTGAAAATTGTGCTATGTACCTGCACGGACAACTGTGACACTCGATGCTGCTCCTGTCGGAAACATGGACTGGAACGCTCACAAGCATAATGTGCAGAGTGCCATGGTATCCGCTGCCTCAATTCACAAACATTAGTTTTGTACAGAGGATACTTACATGTAGCTCACTTTTCTTATTGTGAAATAGTATACATCATATTATGCTTATTAACGCATTTTAACCTGTTCCACGTGTCACTGTACTACATGTATTTATGTAATTCATGTCGATGTA